CAGAACCCTCACATCCTGGATGTAAATTGTTTCAACTTCTACCCTCAAAACGATGCTATAGGACACGGCACACCAGAACAACTAGATACAAGGACAGTTTTTCCCTGAACACCATCACTCTGCTAAACAACTAATTCTCACAACACTGTCAAATTATTTACTAAGGCTGTATTACTATTACTATTAGTCTTCTCATCGTTCCTATCACCCATCTCCTCTCACTTATGACTGTAGGATTGTAACTTTGCTGCTTCTATTCTTATGATTTATATTGATATTGTTTCCTGATTGCTTATTTGTACCCTAAGACTATCATTAAGTGTTGTGTCTTAGGATTCTTGATGAATGTATCTTGTCTTTTTATGTACACTGGGAGCATATGCACCAAAGACAAATTCCTTGCGTGTCCAATCACACTTGGCCAATAAAGAATTCTATTCTGTTCTGTTCTAGTCTAGTCTAGTCTAGTCTAGTCTAGTCTAGTCCCTTCTTTGAACCATTTCTCCTACACTGTGCTGGACATATGCACCCTGTATGCCTGGTGCCATACAGCCAGGATGAGAAAGCTTTGTATTTTTTCCCCCTTGTTATTAGACTCCAAGTTCCATCAGCTCCAGCCAGCCTGTTGAGGATGATGGAGAGAAAGCCCAACAATAGTTGAAAACCTAGAGATCCTCTAAAACTTGAGTGGCCATTTAGACTATCTGCATCATCATCTACATAATTCGTAATTTAATAAGCTTATATGCCGCCCAATCCCGTAGGACTCCGAGCGGCTTATAAGGAATTATAAGGTACGTGCACCAGTGGTGGGATACGACCGGTATGCCCCGGTATGGGTGTACCGGTGCCTGCTGGTAGCACCAGGTACCGTTTCGGTATGGTGCTCTGGAGGGCCCACTCACCCGCCTGCTCTCCTTACCTCTATTTGAGCTGACTGGGGCATTTGCATATGCGCAGGGGCATATGAGGCATGTGCAATACTCCACCGAGCAGCTGGAGTGTCGCGGCAGTGGGTGCACGCTGTGTGCATGAACGTGGTGGACGCCCGGCCCTGTTGCAGCATATCGGTTGCAATGGGAGCCGGAACCCACCACTGGCATCCACATACACATATTATCTTTAACACAGAGATGTGAAAATCCAAAGTTACACATCTCCATATTAGCATCATGCAGGATGTCCCATGTCTGACTCAACCTGACCATTTGGACTCAGCTTCTCAGCCGTGCCGTAGGGGAATGGAATGTTGAATGCAGTGGTTAGAATGCAGTACTGCAGGCTTCTTCTGCTGACTGCCGGATGCCTGCAGTTCGATTCTCACTGGCTCAAGGTTGACTTCCATCCTTCCGAGGTCGGTAAAATGAGGACCCACGTTGGCTTGTGTATGTATCAGAGAGAATGTCTGGGTTGAAATGATCAAATGGGTCAAACTATTTTCCAAAGCATCAAAACGCAAGGCAAGAAACAATGGATGGAAACTAACCAAGGAGAGAAGCAACCTGGAATTAAGGATCAATTTCCTAATGGTGAGAGCAATCAGCCAGTAGAACAGCTTGCCTTCAGAAGTTGCGGGTGCTTCATCACTGGAGGCTGTCAAAAAAGCAACCATTTTTCTGAAATGGTAGAGGGTCTCCTGCTCGAGCAGGGGACTTGGACTAGAAGACCTCCAAGATCTCTTCAAACTATGTTACTCTATGAAATTCTATGATGTTGCCTCTTGATTAGTAAAAATCTGGATCTCTCCATAACCTAGCTAAACACACACACAGCAAGAATGCCCCCTAGTGGTTTGCTGTCATACTAAATAATGGTCACTGTAATGAAATTATTACCTATCCAAAAATAGCCATTTTCAGACTTATTAAAAAAGCAACTACCGTCAAAAATTATTAATAATCATGATGACAGTTGTTATTATAAACCAATTATGCACTTCACAAACTATTATCTTGTGTCTGTCAGAACACAAACTGGAACTCATGCGTTTAACAATGCAGAGAGACAACTTTTGAATGTTACTCTCCAAGATGTGCTTGCCCTTATCTGCTTTGGAAGGCGGCAGTAGGCTGAACTATTTGTTTATTGCTACTATTTATATTCTGCCTTTGAATATATTCAAAATAGTTGAATACTCATTTCATTTGGATTTCAATTTGCCCTCTTGAACCATCATGCAGAGAATGACGAGAATGCACTCATTCACATGCTGAAATCCCCATCGTTCAGAATTCACTCGGCAATTCCAACTTTAAAAAAAAGGCATGTCACACTGTTGTAAGTGGCTTACAACAATACATTAAAAACACCCATAAAACCTAAAATGTTTCAAATAATAATCATTTTTTTAAAAAAAAATGTTGCTTCCATAAAACTCATTCAGCAAAAGACCCGTGGAAAAGTAAACTCTTCAGTTGTTGTTTTTTAAAAATAATAATAAAAGGGTGGGAACTGACTGGCCCTCTAGGTGCAAGTTATTTCAACATGAGGGACTAGCACTGAAGACACACAGGTCTTAACCCACCAAACCCTCTGGGGTTGACTGCTTACAACATGTTGTCGAAGCCAAAAAGTGCAGCATGGGGAACCTGGAGTGAAGATAGGCATTTTGGGGACCACTGCAGTGATGCAGTGGTTAGAATGCAGTACTGCAGGCTTCTTCTGCTGTCTGCCAGCTGCCTGCAGTTCAATTCTCACTGGCTCAAGGTTGACTCAGCCTTCCATCCTTCCTAAGTGGGTAAAATGAGGACCCAGATTGCTGAGGGCAATATGTGCTGACTGTATAAACTGCTTAGAGAGGGCTGTAAAGCTCTGTGAAGCGGTATACAAGTCTACAGTAGGTGCTAAGTGCTATAATGCTCATTCGACGGATGATCTCTCTCAGTGGTTTCATGAGGATGCTAAAGAAGCTGTCCTTCTTCTTGCTTGGCAGGTTGTGAATAGTCTAAAGACTGGAAGTCAGCATGGCTCTCACCACCGCTTTCAAGGCTGTAACCAATATGCCCGGACTGATCATCTGGAGAGTTGAGGTGGGATAAATGCAGCTCTTGCAATGTCCATTTGAAGGTTTCTTTCCTCTCCCAGATTCACTGTTGAATGTTAACCATTTCGTTCCATGTTGGGCCCCTTTAGAACCTGACATCTAGGTAACATCCTGGCTAGATTGTAAAGATGTTTACCACTTGTACGGGTCAAGATCTTGACTGGAGCCATGGTTTTCTTTGGGCACATTTTTTAATGGTATGTTCTTCTTTCCAGAAAATGGATCTAGTATTGGTGCCTCCCCAAACTCATGGCAACTTCTATGAAGGTGACTGCTACGTTCTCCTTTCAGTAAGTAACCTGAAAGTTGGCTATGATGCATTTCTGTACAATGTAACTTTTTTTGTTGTTGAACCTGCCACATACTCAAAAGACTATACTTGCAGTCATAGACCAAACACCAAATATTATGACGTCATATGGTGATGAGCACTATGTAACTCCAGAAAAAGACAAATGATCCAATGCCACAACTGACTGTTAGGACAGGCAGCGAAGAGCACAGCCAAAGAAGGACTTTACTCTCTAAGCTAATAGTTCTTCAACCTTTAGATAAGTGTCTCTCAACTTTGGCAGCCTGAAGATGTGTAGATTTCAACGTTCAACCTGCTTGGGAATTCTGGGAGTTGAAGGCCATGCATCTTCAAGCTGCCAAGATTGACAAACATGCTTTAAAACCTGGAGTTTGAACCAGTGGTGAAATCCTCTGAAGTCTTCTACGGATTCGGGGAGTCTGCTACTGGGCACGTGATTTGCACTCATGCGCGCTTAAGGTGCACCCACACAGCACTAAAAAAGGAACATTTTTAGCGCCTCCAAGTCTGCAAATGTAAATAGAACAGCAAGGGTGGGTGGGAATCCTCTGTGCCATGTGGATTAGCTAGAAAGCAGGAAATCTGACGATTCTAGCTAATATAAATTGCAAGTCACAGCTGATCGTTAGAAATACCAATTCACCTGCACAGGTAGCATTTTTTACTACCAGTTCAGGTGAACCAGTCCAAACCGGAAGCATTTCACCCCTGGTTTGAACCTCAGATTATCTGCAAATAAAGTTGTGCTGTTAAGTTGTCTAGTGGTAATATTGATGTACCATTAGGATTCGAACATATTTTGGGGCTTTGGTTACAAGCTCACCGGAATACTAAGATGGAAGCATCCCATAAGGTCAATTAAATCCCTTCTTTAATTTTCTGAAGGGACATAAAAGGTAAGAGTAAATCCAGCTATTTACAATCCCCAAGTATTCAGCTTCGATTTATGTGCCCCAAAACTTGTATCTTATCCACAGACCCGTAAATTGGGCAGCACCCTTTCCTATGATGTTCACTACTGGATTGGAAGCTGCTCCTCACGAGATGAGCAGGGCTCTGCTGCCATTTATACCATTCAACTGGACGACTATCTCGGTGGAGTCCCAGTGCAGCACCGGGAGGTGCAAGGCTATGAATCTGAGCTCTTCAAGGGCTACTTTAAGAAAGGAGTCATGTGAGTATGCTTGATCTTTGCTGAAAGGATGAAAAGATCTTTGAGAAGAAGGGTGGGGGATGGATGCAGTGGTGGGTTTCAAAAATTGTTCGAACCTACTCTGTGGGTGTGGCCTCCTTTGTGGGAATGGCTTGCTGCCCATGTGGCCGGATGGGAGCGACTTGCCGCCCATGTGACCGGATATGAAGATGCCGACGACACTTGTCAGAACAACCTTAAATTACCTCACACACAGCACTGGCATGCATAAGAATATGATGTAAACTTGTTTTTTAAAA